TTGTTGTTTGGCGGGCCCGGGCTGGGGATTCGAACCCGCCACCTTAGGTGTATGTGGCTGGCGCCTTAGCCGCTTGAGCCACAGGCGCCGAGCCTCGATTTTACTTTTGTACACGAATGTCAACTCCACATTCCCACCGAAAAGTAAACTTAACACTAGACTTACACGTTTTAAAATGTGAAATGTAGGGAATGTATGCAAGATGTCTTTTTTAAAAGTAAGTGCTTTCCTGTCACAGTAAGAAATACTTTCTTTTTTTGCTTTTTTTGTTTGTGTGTTTTGAGACAGTCTCACTGTTGCCCTCAGTATAGTACCCTGGCATCACAGCTCACAGCAACCTCAAACTCTTGGGCTTAAGTGATTGTCTAGCCTCAGCTTTGCAAGTAGCTGGAACTGTAGAAGCCCGCTACAATGCCCGGCTACTTTTTGTTGTTGTTGTTGCTGTACTTGTCATTGTTGTTTAGCAGACCTGGGCCAAGTTCAAACCCACCAGCCCCAGTGTATGTGGATGGCACCTCAACTGCTGAGCCGCAATACTTATTTTAGAATAGAATTCTGTGGCTAAGGACAAGAACATTTATAATTGGCTGTGGTTGCCTGGCAACCATTAGCATTAGTTAGGATATTTAAACCTTTAAAAAAGAATCACTTGGGTACCAGGCTCAGTGGCTCATTCCTGGAATCCTACCACTCTGGGAATCTGAGGTGGGAGGATTGCTTGAATTCAGAAGTTCAAGACTGGCCTGAGTAAGAATGAGACCCCATGTCTACAAAAAATAGAAAAATTAGCTGAGCATGGCGATCTAAGCCTGTAGTCTCAGCTACTTAGGAGGCTGAGGCAAGAAGATCACTTAAGCTTAGGCGTTCAAAGCTGCAGTGAGCTATGATGATGCCACTGCACTCCAGCCTGGGTGACAGAGTAAGACCCTATCTCTAAAAAAATTAAAAAATCACCTGAGAAGAAAAATTTATTTTGGAAACAAAAAGTATGGAAGAAAATCAGAAATCAGTATACCTCCTCCTTCCCCCCACTAATCACAGTTTTAGAAATGAGTGTTCA